GCGGGCCGGAGGCCCGGCTGACTGAGGGCACCCAGATTTCCCTTAGGACCCAAGGAGCTTGTTTTGGGGAAGGAATTCAGTAGCCCAGCTTCCTTTCGTTGCATTGCTCTCGGAAACCCCTACGCAGTCTGTGGAAAAGCCATAGGGGAGGATGAATGGCCTCAGCCCCCACCCCAGGCTGGGCAGCCAAGGGGCTTGATGAGACATACTGCTACCCTACCTGCGGGAGCTTTTGGCTCTGGAACCCGTAGGGCTCCTTCTGGGGGCAGAAGCAAGTAGTGTTGGGAGATTTAGGGAGAACCCTTGCTCCGCTTTGCTCCCAGTTCATTTCTTGACCACAGCAAGGCAGAGGCTGGAGGGTACTGGGCCTGCGAGGTCTTTCTAAGTCTTTAAACGGTTGGGGAGGGGGGCCCTGTTATTGATCCTCAACAGCTTGCTGTGGGGGAGACCTTTGTCTCCCAGCCCTGTCTTCCCTTCATACCGGTTGTAACTCGCACCATAGATGCTGGTGCCAGCGTCACTTCTAGCACCGGGAGCCATGCCCAGCAGCAGTTGCTGCTCCTGGTCACAGGACTTGCCCACTCCAGAGAGCCCGCGGGACACACTGGGAGTTCATATGTCTAGATTGCACTCCTGGCTGTGAGGGTCCATATTTCCTATGACCTCTCTTCTTAGTCCTCCACGACCTGTCCTCCTACATTTTATAGGTCCTCTTGTCCACTGGGCCCTGTGGGCAGGGGTAAGTGAGGCATCTTACATAAGTGTGCACCCATGTGTTAGGATGGGCCTGAAGAAGAGCCCTTGCCCTTGGATGTCTGTAGGCCAGACTGCAGGCTGCTAGCCCCAGCGAGGCTTGGCTTTGCTCCTGGGGCCACCACACTGAAGCAGGGTTCAGAAAAACGTTGTTTTGAAGATGAAGTTTGCTGCACAGGGGGCTGAGAGTGAAACTCAGGGCTTAACTTGACCAAAGGAAATGGCTCAATTCTTACTGATTTTCAGCAAGTGCTGGGCACCTCCTCATAACATGTTGGCCTTGCACAGCCCCCCCCCCCCCTTAGACTTAAGACCAGGGCTCTGAAGACTCCACTGTAATTTTCATTTTACTTTGTCAGTGGATTAGGCATATGTTATGGCAGAAATTTATCTTTGCTCTCATTGGTGGGCTTATAAAGGCAGACTCCTAGATTTCTAGGAAGCCCCTTGCCCTCTGTTAAAATCTCCAGGATGCTCTTGCTAGCTGAATGAGGGTGGGGTTGTATTGTTTGAATTCTTCTAGGGACACTGACTAATCTAGCTTTTATTCTGTCATCTCTTTTGCCTCTTCCCCCTTTCTTCCTTCTAGCCCTCTCCGTAGGCCCACGAAACCCAGCCCGCCCCACCACGCAGAGCCCGGAAGGAAAGAGAGCCCCATGCCTAAGCCGCGGGGAGCACCATGGATCTGACAAAGATGGGCATGATCCAGCTGCAGAACCCCAGCCACCCTTCGGGGCTCCTGTGCAAGGCCAACCAGATGCGGCTGGCCGGGACGCTGTGCGACGTGGTCATCATGGTGGACAGCCAGGAGTTCCATGCCCACCGGACCGTGCTGGCCTGCACCAGCAAGATGTTTGAGATCCTCTTCCACCGCAACAGCCAGCACTACACTCTGGACTTCCTCTCGCCAAAGACTTTCCAGCAGATCCTGGAGTATGCCTACACGGCCACGCTGCAGGCCAAGGCGGAGGACCTGGATGACCTGCTGTACGCCGCCGAGATCTTGGAGATCGAGTACCTGGAGGAGCAGTGCCTGAAGATCCTGGAGACCATCCAGGCCACAGACGACAATGACACGGAGGCCACCATGGCGGACGGCGGGGCGGAGGAAGAAGAGGACCGCAAGCCTCGGTACCTCAAGAACATCTTCATCTCGAAGCATTCCAGCGAGGAGAGTGGGTATGCCGGCGTGGCTGCGCAGAGCCTCCCTGGGCCCATGGCGGACCAGAGCCCGTCCATGTCCACCTCATTTGGACTTTCAGCCATGAGTCCCACCAAGGCCGCAGTGGACAGTTTGATGACCATAGGACAGTCTCTCCTGCAGGGAACTCTTCAGCCCCCTGCAGGGCCTGACGAACCTACTCTGGCTGGGGCTGGGCGGCTCCCTGCGGTAGCTGAGGTGAAGACAGAGATGATGCAGGTGGACGAGGTGCCCAGCCAGGACAGCCCTGGGGCAGCCGAGTCCAGCATTTCAGGCGGATTGGGGGACAAGGTTGAGGAAAGGGGCAAAGAGGGGCCCGGGACCCCAACTCGGAGCAGCGTCATTACCAGTGCGAGGGAGCTGCACTATGGGCGCGAGGAGAGTGCCGAGCAGCTGCCAACCCCCGCGGAGGCCGGCCAGGGTCCCCCAGGCCGACAGGAGCACCTGGCGTCCACCGCAGAGAAACACCTGGGCGTCTACTCCGTGTTGCCCAACCACAAGGCTGACTCGGTGCTGAACATGCCGTCCTCGGTGTCCTCGGGGCTCCACGTGCAGGTGCAGCCCGCTCTGGCTGTGTCCATGGACTTCAGCACCTACGGGAGCCTGCTGCCGCAGGGCTTCATCCAGAGGGAGCTGTTCAGCAAGCTGGGTGAGCTGGCTGTGGGCATGAAGTCGGAGAGCCGGACCCTCGGGGAGCCGTGCAGCGTGTGTGGGGTGGATCTGCCTGACAACGAGGCTGTGGAGCAGCACAGGTAGGTCCCTCGCCAGCCCGTGTCACCCGGCCCAAACCTCTGGCCCTGGCAGCCTGCCCTCATCCCTGGCTGCTCCCGAGTCCTGGGGCCCGACTCCCCTGTCCTCCCTGCTATTTGTAAAAAACCCACGTCTTTCTAAGACTTGGGACTGGGGTATGCCTTCCAAGTGTGAGGGGCCTAGGGTGTTGCCTACGTGTTGGGGAACGCACGGACCCAGATCTTACTAGGCTCTCGACGCTTTCTGCTTTCGGGCTCCCATTTGCTTGTTCTGCTGTTGGACCTGTTCTCTTTTGCCTGGAGTGGCTGATAACGTGGAGGGAGGGAGAAGAAAAGGTGGGGTTGAGGAGAAGGTGTCCCACGGCCTGGATCTGGCCATCCCGCCAGGTTTCAGGTACTCGGTTCCCATCAGTGGTCTCTGCCGAGGCAGGCGGTCTGCAGCTCTGGAGGATGGGAGGGGCCGGACGCTGCTTAGGGCTCGAGAGCAGCTGCCGGTCCGAACGTCATTCCTGGTGAACGTTCATCACCAGGAACGTGGCTTCCTCTCTCCCTTCCCATTCTCTGTTTCCAGAAACACTTTTAGAAGGAGTCGATTTACATATTAAAGGGGAAGGACGGGTATGAGATACTTGGGGCCAGCATTGGCTTCCTCTGGCTTCTGTCCCTTCTCTGTGAAATAACCATTGCGCACTTAGGACATGCCTGCTCCAATACTAAGTGCTTGCTGTGGAGTCATGTTTTTGTTACGGCCCTCTGAGATAGGCCATGTGCTCCCTTCCCATGGGAAGACACGGAGACCTTTTGCCAGGATCGCAGAGAAAGTAGGAGGCAGAGCTGGATTCAAATTCAGCTCCAAGGCCCTTTGCTGCCTTTTGGAGTCATTCAGTCCTGAAGAGGATTGTGCCCGTAGCACAGAGGGTTCTGAAGATTCCTCATCAGTAGGATCTGGTGTTTGCCTGCATCTGTCATAAGGACATGCCCGTCATTTTACCCTCCAGCCCCTGGGTCTGATGAGTGGTATGGAGAAGTCCAGTTTCTGTCGTCATTGTGAGAACATTTGCCTGTGTGCCCTCTTGCCTGCTCTTTGTCTGTTCTTGGGGGATCCCCACTTTTGCACCCCTCTGTCTACCCCATTCCTCCATTTCTCATTAGTGTAGGAGGGGATGTGACTGAGGGGGTGTGGGCAGAGCGGGAGGCGTCTGGAGGTTTGTCTGATGACCCCAAGCTGAGGCGGACTCCGACAGTGACAGTACCTAATCGTGGCTCTGAGGGTTACTTACCTCGTGGAAAGTGTTTATGAGCTAAACGTTAGCCGAGTTTTCCGGCGGGTGCGGAAAAATAACCACCGCTAAGGTGTGTCTTGATGCTTGTGCCGCTCAGAAGTAGACCGAGTTCGTGTTTGTTTTTGCTCAAACTTTCCTCAAGAGGAAATCCTCTCCTCAAACTTGACCAGGTAGGTTTCTCGTCTTCTCCGGATGTGAATGATTTCAGTGTTGTGCTGTGAGAAGTGGGCTCTGGTGGGAAGGAAACGCTTTGCTGGCTGTCCTCGGGCCCGGCTGCCTCTCTTGACCGAGAGGGCTACGAAGCCGCCACCCGCCCAGGACTTCCAAGTTCCCGTCCTGCGGGACCCTCGGTCCCCCTGGGAGGGGCTGGGGCCTGGCGGTGTGATACTCCCCGGAGCGAGCGAGGTGGTGAAACTGGAGTTTAGGAAACCTTTCTGAGCCCTGTGTTACTTTTTATTTATTTGTTAAAAAAATATTTTTCTTGGGTTACTTTTAAAAATGGAGGTGGTTAGCAGGGTGTGGTGCTGAATTAATGAAGTAATAGGTAGAAGTCCCTAGAGCTGAGACAGTACCCAATAACTGTGAAGGTGAAGAACTGACCCTCTGTCCCCCGTCTTGTTTGGGTCTCACGTCTGCCTAACCCCATTGGATCCGAGCTCCAGTGCTAGTGTCCACAGTGCGGCCGTCCTGGGGCTGTGCTGGCTGCGGGCCTTGTGGGGAGTGGCCCTGTCCCATGGACTTGGGGTGCTGAGGCGCTGGTCCTGGACCCTTGGTGTCACGTTGTGGGCTGCTGGCATGGAGAATGTGCTTTGACTGAGGGTGGAGAGTAAGCTGCTGCAACCCAGGAAACCAGGGCCTGGGGCAGTGCCAGGGTGGAAAGCCATGAGGAGCTAAAGCAGTGGTTCTTAACCTTCCTAATGCCTCGACCCTTTAGTACAGTTCCTCATGTTGTGGTGACCCCCAATTTCATTGTTACAAATTGAACATAATTAAAGCATAGTGATTAATCACAAAACAATATGTAATTATATATGTGTTTTCCGATGGTCTTAGGCGACCCCTGTGAAAGGGTCGTTGGACCCCCAAAGGGGTCGCGACCCACAGGTTGAGAACCGCTGGTCTAAAGAAATCAAGGAGGGGACACAATGCTCCTGCGCTGCCCGGCCCGGCCCTCCTCAGACTGGCAGCCGCTTAGCTCCTGGTCAGACGGCCTTGCCCCTCTCTCTCTCCCTCAGAGCTCCTGGATAAGGTGCTACTTCCCTACTTCCTACTGTTCTCTGTTCCTCCCCCACATCCCAGCTACCAGCAAAAACAGAGAAGCAACACAAAACAACCAGTGGGAGACTCTGACATCAGGAGACGGAATTGGCTATAATATAACAGTGACCAACATAGTGAAATAACAGGCGGCAGATTTATTTTATTTTTAAATATATTTTTATTGATTTCAGAGAGGAAGGGAGAGGGAGAGGGAGATAGAAACATCCATGATGAGAGAGAATCACTGAATTGGCTGGGGATGGAGCCCACAACCCGGGCGTGTGCCCTGGCCGGGAATCGAACTGTGACCTCCTGGTTCACAGGTTGAGGCTCAACCACTGAGCCATGCCAGTTGAGCAGGTTTTATTTTATTTTGTTTTATTTTATTTTATTTTGTCTTTTTAAAAATTTCATTTAAATCTTTATTGTTTAAAGTATTACGTAAGTCTCCTCCCTCCCCCCATTGACCTCTCCCCGGCCGCTCCCACCCCCCAACACATGCCCTTACCCTCCTACTGTTTGTGTCCATTGGTTATGCTCATGTGCATGCATACAAGTCCTTTGGTTGATCTCTTACCCCCCCACCCCACCCCCCATTTTGTTTTTAAGCCCATAGGCTAGAGTGTTGGTAAAGGGTAAGTCCCTTGCAGTTGTTGGGGAGCAGAAGGGCATGGAGAGGAAGGAAGGGGAGCTTGCTGGGAAGTGGTGCAGGAAGGGGAGCTTGTTATGGAATGCCATCAGTAGGATTCCTCGTGACTGGGCCCCAAGCTGGTGAGAGAGGAGCCTGTTAGCATGACAGAAAGTTGGAATGAAACCTAGTGAAGTTGTGGTCCCTACAGTGCACGGCGAGGTGTAAAAACAATGTTAAATGTAGTCCTGGATGGAAGGAAAGGCCAAAGACACTACCTGAATAAATCAACTGGGGCTGACTTCCCTAAGGGTCCAGAAGGAAGTCAGAACAGTTAGAAGACCTGATTGGCAGCATTCTCAGGCAGACGGAGGAGCAAGCTCTGGGCCCCCACACCTTCCCCAGGAGGCCCACATTATAGAAGATACGACTGAGGGAGGGAGGGTGATGTTGGGAGGGTCACAATAAGCTTCTGGAAGACTGGAATCTCTCTCTAGGCTCAGTCCCTCTTCCTTCTCTTTCTCTTCTGAAAGGCTGGAGCAGTTCTGCACGTAGGCTTGTCTGGATCTGCTCTGGGGACCGGCTCCTGTGGGCCAGACGTATCTTCTCATTCTCAGAGTGGCATACGTATGTGATATGTATGTTCACCTAAGTGTGAACACAGTCGTCATTGATAGCCCTCAGCCTCCCCAGGCTCATACAGCCTGGTCGTAAGATGTTTCTGAACTCAATGCTGCAGGATCCGCGTGGGATCTGGCTTCCTAAGATGCTGGATCTTCTACAGACAAACCCTCAGGCCAGCGACAGTGCGTGTCCTGCACACACAGAGTAAGGTCTCTTGCCTGGCTCCTGCAGAGATGCTCAGGAACCAAAAGGAACGGTCTCAGCCAGCTCCCTAGACCCAGCTCTGGAGTGCCTGAGCCATATAGTTGAGATGTCAGAGCTCTGCCTGGCCCTTTGTCTCGGTCTCTCTCAGGTGGCCAGTTGCTCTGTTTTCAGTGGTTGACCATGGAGAGGGTCAATAGCCACTGACCTTGGTTTTGGCCAGTTTGGGGAGGTTAGAAGTTGCCCTGAACTCTTGGCCCCTTTTGATCATTCTACCAGCTTTAGGCACCTGTGAGGTCAAACCAAGTTCTGTTTGGAAAAGAGTATGCTGTGGAGTAATGGTAGCAACAGCAATAATGTTATGAATGCCTTTTATCAGTTGTAGCACTTTCTCCTTTGCAAAGCATCTTTACTGACTTTGTGTTTTTTAACCTCAATCCTCCCCAAAGGGGAGGCAGGCCCATCATCATTCCATATCTGTGATGATGAAGTCTGAAGAACTCTGCAAGCTGCGGATAGGTTCTTTGTAAGTTTGCAGCAAACTCATTTAGTGGCAAAACCTGATCTGAACTGATGTGAGGCTATATTTATCCTGTCTATTTTGAATATTCATTTGTTTTGCTGCAAAAATATTGATGTGTTTGATTACAGAGTGTTGCTTCCTTAGACTCCTCTGGGACTGGGCAGACACGATCAGCCCCATAGTTCCTTTGTAGAATCTGAACAATTTGGATTTCTGAAGCACCTCAGGGTTTTGGATGAGGGATTGAGGGCCATTAGCAGCTCCAGTTCACAGATGAGGAGAACGAACCTTGGAGCCAGTGAGTGACTTGCCCAAGGTTGCATAGCTATAAATGGACAGGACCAGCCCCACCTAAGGCACAGCCCCGGGTGCTCCACGCCAGGCCATATAAGAACATGTGCATGCCGTTTTGGGTCAGTTCCATCTGACCTAGTCTTCGGGTGCCAACCCTGTCCCTGAGATGCCACCATAGGAGGCTACAGCT